AACGATCAAGCTTTGCCATTAAAGTCCTGATCTATTCTTTTCCCATCATACAGCCGTCTCGCATCTCAATCAGTCCGTCAGTAATGTTCACCCTGAACCCCTAAATCACTCACCCGAATACCCTCCGCCTCAAGACCCCCCGCCACTGGCTCCTCTCCAGGCTCCAGGCCAGCCCAAGATGACCTCCCCGGGCAGAAGAGGCCCGAGCCTGCAGGCCAGCGCTCGACAGACCCTCCGGCCGAAGGAACAGCCTCCTGCACTCAACGGAGTAAAACTCCAGGACTGGGAGCGAAGAAACTCAGAGGACTTTGCACAGCACTTCCATCAGTCTGTGCTGCAGACTACTCAAATATCCCAGCAGAAACAGAAAGGTGACAGTGGCTACCCTATACTTATACTTAAGATAATGGGCCCTATTTTAAGGATCTAAGCGCATGGTCTAAAGCACATGGCGCAAGTGCACTGAGGGCGTGTCCGAATCCACTCTTGCTAGTTTAACGACGGGAAAAATGGTCGGCGCACCTGGCGCACGGTCTAAAAGGGTTGTCCCTATTCTCTTAATGAGTAATGGGTGTGTTTTGGGCGTTATGTGCAAAAAAACAATCATTCTCATCTCCCATTCCCTTTAAAAGCCAGTTGTGCTCGCGCGCCTTGGCGGATTCACTATTTACATGGCGGAATTTGCAAGCGGAAAGACTGAACGCGTCTCCAGAGCGCAAACGGACGTTGCGGACCCGCCTATAGGCGCACATTACCAACACGCTCTTTAAATAACAAAAAAATATTGCGCTATTGACTTTAGACCAGGTTTCAGGTGGTCAATGGCGCAGTCTATTTCAGTTTCCTCAAAATAGCAACAATTTGCCCGAACACACCAGACCAGCGCATGGCCATGGGAGGACAAATGGGCGCAAATGCATTTGCTTTTTAAACAATGTGGCACAGGAAAAAAAATGATAACTGCGTCAGGCTGAAACTAGCAGAAAACTCTTGCGTTGCGCCTGGCGCCGCATTGCACCGGGTGTATGATAGAGCCCAATGTATGTAGATATATACACATTACTGATATAGCCTGCTTGATCTTTTTTGCATGTGTATTCCAACAGGTGAACTCTCTATTGGAGCGAACGAGCAGTTTGACCCCCATGCACATCCACCTCCAGGCCTCCAGAGGGCGCTCAACAAACTCCCTAATGGACAGACCAATGGCCACTCCTGCCATTTATCAGCCCTCCACAACTCCCCAGGGGTGAGGAATGACCTTTCAGCTGGCGAGGGCATCAGTTCAGATGAAGACGAGGAAGAGGAGTCCTTCAGTCCTAGGTGGAAAGGGATTGAATCTATATTTGAGGCGTACAAGGAGTACATGGAGGGTAAGTTTACAGCATATTGAGATTCAAAGTTACGTTATTTGGATAAATATGTGAACATGAGGAACTTTTAGCAAGTTGAAAACGCAACTGAGCAGATCATTGAATAGTTGTGTTAAAGGATTCGTTCAGTTCAGATTTAAAATTTCCTCAAATCTGCGTGACAAACTTAAACACACTGCAAAATCTTCCCAATCGTGTGATTTCTTCTTGAAATGACCGGATTTTGTCTCAAATTCGCCAAACAACAGTAAATGTGAGAGCGCCTTTATTGATTTGTCTGGACAGGATATAGTCTTTTCTGAGTGTTTTTGTCTGTATGATTATAGTGCATTGCTCAGCTGTCTGTCTCTTTCCCCGTCTGTCTCTCAGAGAGAAGTATAGAGCAGCAGGTTCTCCAGAGCGAGTGTAGACGCCTAGAGACGCAGCATTACAACCTCAGTCTGACCGCCGAACAGCTTTCTCATAGCATGAGGGTAAGAATATATTATTTTGGTAGCTATGTTATATAGGTTTTTATATTTTTATGTGTTATTATTTTTGCACAGAAAATGTTACCAAATATTTTTCCACACTAAATTCATGTTAACACATTGTTTACACCTTGTGGCTATCCCTATTGAAACAGTAAGGGGGGTGGGGGGGTGTGTGTGTTTGATTTCCATTAACCCTTAAAGTCATGAATGTTTCGCCAATCATTATTACATATTCGGGTTTTTATCCCAGATCTATATCTAACACGGATGGATCTCTACCTGTCGCTGTGATATAAAACTCTCCTGATATTAGAGAAACAAATACAGAAGAATAAAATAAAGCATATTTTGTTACCTTTTGGAGCTTGGAAGGGTTCAGTTTGAGCAGATGTTTTACACCATCATCACTGTCCTCGTCAGAGCTCATTTCCCAGTACATTCAACATCTGGCCCATATTCATGATCTCAAACATATCCTCAAAACTATCATTTTCAACATCTTCAAAATCAATATTTTGATCGCTGGCAGCTTCTTCACCAGATCAAGTTTCAGTGACTTGCTCTGCAGTAAATCTTTGAGCCATTTCAATTTTTTGCTTGAGGCAACTATGAGTGAAACTTCACTTCATTGTGTATCAGACACTGCCACCTTGTGGAATAAATGTGAATTGCACTTATTCAGTCATCAAAGATTCAATTATTGTTGTGCAGAAAAAAAATACTTACTGTTACACACCTCGGGTCGTTAGCTATGGAAGCTTTTTTCCGCCATTTTATAAAACGTTTTTAATAAAACATTTTAAAAGTTAATTGGAAGTTTACATCTCGCGATTCTGAGAATTTCTCAGAATTGCGAGATATTAAGTCAGAATTGCGAGATATAAAGTCGCAATTATCTTTTAAAATATTTCATTTTGTGGCGGAAACAAGCTTCCATTGCTAACAATTGAGAGAAATAAACTCGCAATTCTGACTTTATAACATTCAATTGCGAGTTTTTATCTCGCAATTCTAACATCTTTTCTCCGAATTGTGAGATATAAACTCGCAATTGTGAGTTATAAAGTCTATATAGTATATAAAGACTTTTTTTTCCCTCAGAATTTAGTTTATATCTCTCAATTCTGACTTTATAACGTGCAATTCAGACTTTATATCTCCCAATTGCGTGTTATAAAGTCAGAATTGCGAGTTTATATCACACAATTCTGACTTTATAACACAATTTTGAATTTATATCACGCAAATGTGAGTTATAAAGTCCAATTCTAAGGAAAATACTTTTTCCCCCTCAAAATTTTTTATATCGTTTATATAAAAGTTTATATCGTGCAATTCAGACTTTATTACACGCAATTGCGTGTTATAAGGTCAGAATTGCGAGTTTATTTCGCGCAATTGCGAGTTTATATCTCACAATTCTGACTTTATAACACAATTTTGAATTTATATCACGCAATTGTGAGAAAAAAAGTCAGAATTGTGAGATAAAAAAAAATCACAATTACCTTTTTATTTTTTATTCTGTGGCGGAAACAAGCTTCCATAATTAAGTTCCATAACTAACTAGCGACCCTTTAAAGTTTTTACACAAAAAATCAATGGGAAAACAGACATTCTTTTATAATTTTGTATGTTTATATTTTCTTGTATTGTTCATAATGAATTGACTAAGGAATACTAAGAGGGTTGATGTCTAACTTAAAAAAAAAATTTGAATGAGGAGGAGGGTAGTTAATGACGTCCCGGGTCACTAAAGACCCGAGGTATGCGTTTAAGGGTTAAATAGTCTCAAGTTAAATGTCGCTTGCAAAAACCTACACCAATTTGCCACTCTTAGGTTACAAATAAGGTGGATAGTTTGAAAGTAGGCATATCCGGACGCAGGGCATGACTTTTTCTCTCTTTCCCCCATGTTTAGGAGCTGTTGGCACAGAAGCACAATCTGGCGCTGAAGAGAGAGCGCATGCAGGCCGAACTTGAGCACTTCAAGAAATGCTTGGGATTGCCGCTGCTACACTGGCACAGAGGATACTACAAGAGGCCTTCGCCGAGGTGACCTTGCTTCCTCGCATTTATGATGGACGTGCTGAGGAAGAGTGGCTGATCGGTGTAATGGCTGAGAACTTAAATTACTAAACGTGTGATTTCAGCTTTGGCACGAGAAGATGTCATTGTTTTGGTGCCAATGTCTGACGCCTCACTGTGACTCACTGCACTACAAGTCCAACCAATATATACAGGATCCAATCTCTGAACAAAACAGGCATTCAGCATATCCATTACTTGACGGATTAATCTGATGGGACGTTTGAAAGACCAATGCCAAGAGGTGCAGAAAACCAACCCAGAGCTGCTCACATGCAGATGGCTCCTGGAAATGAGCGATTCTGGAATCTAGTTCAAATGTTTTAATATTTATACAGTTTTTAAAGGAATATGATTATGTAAAATACTGTCAAATCGCATTTTGTATGTTTTTATTATTAATGATGAATTCTAAAAAGGACTGTAGTTTGGAAAATAAATATTTTAAAGCTTTTTGCAGGGAAAAATGTGTTACGGTACTGCTGCTGGTCAGAAATGTTGGTGAAAGACAGAAATGAAGTGGGCGGACTTGAGTTCTCGATTCAAAAGGTTTCAGTTTAATATGAAAGTGGTTGTCTAGATCAATTTTAACAGTGCTCCTGTATATTTTGTAATTTTCTCTTCGTCACCCATTAAACCAAAAGTTCTAGTACATGGCTGTTCGAAAATAAACCAATCAAATGTGGCTATCACTTTATAATCGCTTTCATTAATGACACTTTAATAACAAACCGCAGACCAGCATATGAATATACTGATAATACATGAATCAGGAGTACATTTGTGAATGTACATTCATTATTATGGGGGATCGTTTGTGCTAAAGTCAGTCAAGCAATCGATCATTATGTGGACGGTGGAAATGTTTTATTAGTACATATAACTAAAATAAATGAGTAAAAACAGATGCATACAATATAATTGAGCATATATAAATAATAATGAGATATTAAGAATAACCAATTCAATATAGTATTTTCTGTTAAATTCATAAAATAATTGATTTCTAAGATGATTATGAAATGGCACAAATAGGGCCTTATAAATGAACATTCTGTTAAACGTTATATGATGGTCATTTAATACTGTTTGTTACAGACTTGTTAAAATCATGAAAATAATTATAAAGTGTCACCCAAATATTTGTTTGTATAATTTATTTTTCAACCTAGCTGCCATGAGAACAGTCATTTAGGTTGTGCGTTTTATACAGACTTTAGTGCCACGAAGTTTTGTTGAAAAAACCTAAATGTGCTCTCGCTGTGTTATTATTTATGACATAAAAAACACACCTCATGTGTTGGATTTGAAAGAAACGTCCAACGCTACAAGTCGAGAAGTGTCTGTCTTAAGATGTTTATTCTCCATTTTGTCTTTGACGCTTAAAGCGCAGACCTAAAGGCCTGTAGTTATTGTATATTGTTTAAAACAAGAATGGCGAATGGAAATCTGTTTGTAAGAAATGGAAAGGAAATGGATCAGCCATTATGGGGGGATGGGTTGGGTTGGGTTGGGGGGGTTGAAATGTTTTTAGTTGTAATTTTTAGTGGAATGAAATGTGAGTTAATATATTATTTGTTGAAGGTAGAAATACTTATTTATGGATATATAGGTGTATATGCTGATAAAAGAGTTTGAAAAAAAATATTTCTTGCCATATTTTGTTTACAAAAACTCTTAAGAAAGTAATGGACACGATTCATTCACATACGTAACATGATCTTTCAGTTGTTTCTTGACTCTATGATTTACAATGCAGCAAAATAAACAACTTGATATTTAAATTATCTCTGGTATTATTTAATATATATATATATCATATGTCTTATATCATATATATACACTCACCTAAAGGATTATTAGGAACACCATACTAATACTGTTTGACCCCCTTTCGCCTTCAGAACTGCCTTAATTCTACGTGGCATTGATTCAACAAGGTGCTGAAAGCATTCTTTAGAAATGTTGGCCCATATTGATAGGATAGCATCTTGCAGTTGATGGAGATTTGTGGGATGCACATCCAGGGCACGAAGCTCCCGTTCCACCACATCCCAAAGATGCTCTATTGGGTTGAGATCTGGTGACTGTGGGGGCCATTTTAGTACAGTGAACTCATTGTCATGTTCAAGAAACCAATTTGAAATGATTTAATCTTTGTGACATGGTGCATTATCCTGCTGGAAGTAGCCATCAGAGGATGGGTACGTAGTGGCCATAAAGGGATGGACATGGTCAGAAACAATGCTCAGGTAGGCCGTGGCATTTAAACGATGCCCAATTGGCACTAAGGGGCCTAAAGTGTGCCAAGAAAACATCCCCCACACCATTACACCACCACCACCAGCCTGCACAGTGGTAACAAGGCATGATGGATCCATGTTCTCATTCTGTTTACGCCAAATTCTGACTCTACCATCTGAATGTCTCAACAGAAATCCAGACTCATCAGACCAGGCAACATTTTTCCAGTCTTCAACTGTCCAATTTTGGTGAGCTCTTGCAAATTGTAGCCTCCTTTTCCTATTTGTAGTGGAGATGAGTGGTACCCGGTGGGGTCTTCTGCTGTTGTAGCCCATCCGCCTCAAGGTTGTGCGTGTTGTGGCTTCACAAATGCTTTGCTGCATACCTCGGTTGTAACGAGTGGTTATTTCAGTCAAAGTTGCTCTTCTATCAGCTTGAATCAGTCGGCCCATTCTCCTCTGACCTCTAGCATCAACAAGGCATTTTCGCCCACAGGACTGCCGCATACTGGATGTTTTTCCCTTTTCACACCATTCTTTGTAAACCCTAGAAATGGTTGTGCGTGAAAATCCCAGTAACTGAGCAGATTGTGAAATACTCAGACCGGCCCGTCTGGTACCAACAACCATGCCACGCTCAAAATTGCTTAAATCACCTTTCTTTCCCATTCTGACATTCAGTTTGGAGTTCAGGAGATTGTCTTGACCAGGACCACACCCCTAAATGCATTGAAGCAACTGCCAAGTGATTGGTTGATTAGATAATTGCATTAATGAGAAATTGAACAGGTGTTCCTAATAATTCTTTAGGTAAGTGTTTATGTCAATTTTCTTAGGCTGGACCACTACTGTGTATATATGTGTGTGTATATATATATGTATGTATATCTAGCGCGTTTTTCACTTCCAGCTCTTGTTAACAATTATATATCACTTATAAATGATTAGATATACAAATGAATAGCAGTTATTAAGATTGAAGTGGTTTGGAATTGGTCAAATGTGCTTCATTTTAAAGGCGTTCAGTTGGAGTGCAGTCAGTTTGTGTGTGCTGTTAGTTAAAGAAGGTTACCAGGCTGTTGTTAGTTCACTCCCTCTGTGCTTCACATTGTTCTCCAGTTTGTCCCCTGCAGTGTTTTTCACCACAATGCTTCTTCTTCAGCATTGCGTCTCAGACCTGAAGGCCACCTTGATCTTGTTTGGCAGGTCATTCAGGTCCTCTCTGATCCACAGCTTTGAAACTATACACCACCTGTGATGCAAATAATCAGTCTTTGCAGAGATGCTTACATAAAGTAATTTCATCAGTCTTATTTGCTAGAAGGTTAGACGTACGCTCCTAGCACATTACTGTTAAACCACAAGTTAAAGGGATAGACAGTTCACCCAGAAATTAATATTCTGTCATTTCCAAACCTGTATAGCTTTTTTTAACCCCCATAGAGCGAATTTATGAAGAGTTTATAAAAGTGAATGTGGACGAGCTGTTGAGCTCCATGACCAAAAAGTGTCATAAACATGGTACATACAGTATGACTAACTATTCTTCTGAAGTCAAATGATTGTGTGAAAAACAGAACTGAATTTAAGTTATCATTCACTGAACATCGAGTCTAACCTGCTGTATTTCCAATGAACAGGGAATGGATCATTATTTTTAATTGGATCTTTTCAATAAATCCAGAAATGATTCATTCAGGAATTCATCCAGAACTGCAACAGCCCAGAGGAATTGTTGTAATAAATTGTATACATATTTAAAGTGTCCCTATTATGCTATTTTTAAGGCTCCTAATTTAGTCTCCTACAACAGGTTTACATGCATCAAAAGTAAAAAAAACAAAAACACTTTCAATAAAAATTAAGAAAAAATTCTAAAAGTGGAAATAAAGTGTCTATCGTGTGTTTATTTAATAATAAAGTGTTTATCGGTTGGATTAGGGGTAGGAGGGAGAGCTTTTTTGTTCCATTAAGCTGCATCCATTTAAAAAAAATATATATATATATAATCATTTACACTCTATTATTGCATACCGTTTAATGTACAACAACAATGAGGTGCAAATAGTAGGCCATCTGCCATTATTTAGTATAAATAGCATCTAAATACAGTAGGCTACTATTTACACTTAGTGCAAATAGCCCCTGCCAATAGTTAAAACTTTAAAAACGCATCTCGAGACTCTGTACCCCGTAGCGTCTAATTATATAAACGCCCGTTTACCTGTTCAAAGAGACGCTCAGGTGAACAGGATCACGTGACCCCGTATTACCCACAGTGATTCTAGGCGACAGACTCGCTGCGCACCTTCCGCGTTTATATGACACGCACTGCTAGCAACATCTACAGCCTCTGTTTTCACGGTTAAAGTGCGTTAGTCAACTTCATGACGAACTATTTTACAAGTACACTCTTTCATGAAAGGATTTATCAGAGGACTGCGATGTGGCGTTGTCATTTCATTCTGTATCTGACATGTCTCGCGTTTACTCAGTCTGCGGGTAAGACTTCATTTGAATCTATCTATCTATCTATCTATCTATCTATCTATCTATCTATCTATCTATCTATCTATCTATCTATCTATCTATCTATCTATCTATCTATCTATCTATCTATCTATCTATCTATCTATCTAATGGATAGGGGAGATTGTGATTAATTGTTATTGAAAAGCCTATGTGTTTTTCATTATCTGTATAGTATAGTTTTTTTCTGCACAATTATATTTGTATTTTTACTGCTATTGCCCCTGTAAAAAGATTTGGTCACAAAATTGTTTTGACCTGCAAATACTGCAAATAATCAATTAGCCTAGATGTAAATGTAGGCTATTACATTTAAAACACATGACAACTTGCCCTGACATGAAAATACTCTTCAACCTTTATATCACTGTTGTGTTATTGGTTTCATTTGTTTATACAACAAAAATATGATGATGTCCTGATGACCCCTTACGTTTAAGTTGTTTTTCCGGTTAGTAATGGTCATGCTGTACAATTATTCAGCACTTTGTTTGTCTACCAGAATAAATAAAAAAACCTCAACCTGTAAAGTGAACTTTGTACCTTTAACACAGCGGCTCCTGTTTAATGATTGAATGAAGTTACTGGCTGCAGTGCAGAACATTAATCTCACTTAAATATTACATAGATCCTAATACTGGCTCCATACTGACTATTCAATATTAGTGTTGTCACGATACTAGAATTTCTAACTTCGATACGATACCTTGAAAAATATCGATATTCGATACCACGGAGAAAAAACTGCCACAATATTAAGGGGGTATTTTTTTAATTTAAAGCTAAATATAACAAGTCTAGAACATGACAATGAGGTATATTTTACATGAACAAAAATGTCCTGAGTTCTATTTGTTTATATTTTTTAATTGGACCAGAGCTAACATGATGTATTTTTATTACCTACTGTTATCAAAGATTAAAATATACTGTAACAAAAAAGCACTTAACAGTATCAAATTGGAGGATAGAGAGTCAGTAATGTATAATAATAAGATTAAACATTCAATTTTCAGTTAAAGGCATGTCATTATTGAATTTAGAGATGCCATTGTCTAGCTGTTTAGTTTAATTAATATCTGTGTAATCAAATTGATGATAATAGCTAATGAAGGAAAATTGCAGAATTAAATAATAATTTTTGAATAAAGTTAAATAGGCACCAGTTAATTTACATTTGACCACAGTTACAATATTTACTTGTCTAAGATTCCTCAGTCAGATTATGTTAACTTTAAGAATTAAAACGAGACAACACAGACTCTTATCAACAACAATACTAGGCCATCTTGGTTAATGTTTCAGAAAAGTTCAAATGGGAAGAGTTACAGTGTTTCTTTTAGGATTTTTTTAGCAGTGGGGGCAGGTCTGTCCAAACAACAAGCACCCCTGATGCTGAGCATATGCTGCTAAATAGTAGCCTACCCCTGGAGCCTGTTCCTTAAATCTGTTTTCACCTATACAATAATTTAAAAAAATGAGTGATGTGAGGGATTATTGATAGTCAAACAATCTGGGTGCCCGCAGCCCGCTCGCGTGTCCGCGCTATTCTCCGACATGCCCGCTCGCGGTGTGTAGCGCGTGTCCACGCTATTCTCCGACTCCGACATGCCCGCTCGCGGTGTGTTTTTTACGCGTGTCCGCGCTATTCTCCGACATGCCCGCTCGTGGTGTTCTTTATCAATCAACCAAAGCCGGTCGCGGGGGCGCGGCCCTCGCCATCTTTCCATTCACTTCACTTTTGCTATTTAACCAGAGCGAATGAGACGAGTGCGTAACGTGTGGTGTTTGTCAACGCGCCTTTTGAGAGAAGTGAAAGTGACTGCTCGGCTAGTATCGATACTTCGGGAAATTAGTATTGGTACCGTTCAGATATTTCAGTATCGATATTTATCGAAATATCGATATTTTTGACAACACTATTCAATATTGACAGATCAATTCTTATAACCAAAGGCATTAGTACTCAACCTGAAAGTAATGAATAATGAACCTGTTATAACAGGTCATTTATTGTTAAGTCCTATCGAGTGCATTCAAACAGCACAATGCTTTTGTCAAACCTGTTGTCAATATGATACACAAATCTCTCTTCCGCCTATATGAGCATACATAATGTTGACTTTTTGGTGTGTGTGTGTATGTAAAGCACCTCAAATTACCATCTTACAATTCACCTGCACGGGTGAAAGTGGCCATAAAAGAGTAATCCGGTGTAAATGTGTTCTGGAACAGTCAATATTTGCTCTTATAACATTGTTGTTTCCCCCTCTGCCACTCTTATCCTCCCTAACTTTGAATCATTAGTATTTACATGTATTAGTTTACTTCATATTTTTTGTCTAAAGCTATACTTACAGTATATTATAGATAGTTATTACTATATGAACTGCCTGGGAATTGAATGTTTGACATGTAAAGCACCGAGCTCTACCAGTTGAGTTACAGGAACTAGTTATTCCTACTTGCTTTGAATACACAAATTTTGTTCTACACTTTTATTTTCATACTTGTTTACTTTATATCTAGCTGCATATCAAATATGTGAACTGTTGAATGTGACAAATTCCCAATGGATGAACAGCTGATTTCATATTTTATTAGATTGTTTAACACAGCAATTGGCACTAAGGGCTAAAACTCAAGAATGCAAATGCTGGGTTTGCACATTGCAAGAGCTGGTCCCATTCTACACACTTAACTGACTTAATTGACTTAAATAGTAGGAAAACAAAAACAATTCTTGGAAAGATGTTTTCCATCACGTCACATAGAACTAATGAACACCTGTCTTACCTACCTCGAATCCTGAGATTATGTGTACAGAGAACTTCAGGAAAAGTGTTTGCTAAAGGTCAAACCAAATGACCTGATAGCTATCTTGCTTCTGACCACCACCGCATGTCCAAAGTTTGTTTGTTAAAGGATTTATGGACCAAAACTGCCCACATTGGAGTTTTTCAACCATTTCCCCGGAAATCTACGCGTACAATATTTATGTAGGCAGTGATTTCTATTAAACCTCGGTGTCGTTAATGGACCTGTCACCAGCCGAGCTTTCAAATGAATCTTCATAATGAAGGGCCATTAAATTCATTTTTTATGAACCCTTTTCCATTTGATTGCATAAAATACCATATCCTTGAGGGCAGATGAAGAACATATTGCTCAAGCATGTGAATATGAAGCAGTGCTGATGAGAAACAGCCTCACCTGTGCATCAGAATAGAGTTTCACTCATCTCTCTTGAGATTCAAGACTCAAGCAAGGTTACGCTAATAAAGAAGTCATTGTTTTTAGCTGAGCGCCTTTCAGGTGTGCTCATAAAGCTCATACTGGATTAAGAATCTGGCAGTTTAGTTGTGACGCAACTTATAAAAAGTCACATTTTATACATCATAAAGCCCATTCATAACTAAGGACAATAACTATTACCGATAATGATAAAGATATACAGTCGGGTTTTTTTTTAGTTAATTTAAAATAATAGCACAGTCCACACCGCAACTATAACAATAATGGCACAGAGGAAGGATATCATTAGAATCTCTTTAACAACGTTTTTTTTTTTCTCTAGCTGATGAACAATAAAAACATTGACAGCCAATCAGAATCCTTTCTGCTTTGATTGCGGGCATTTAAAGCGGCAGGCGACAAAACTGCAGAGCATGCTATAATAAATGAACAGATTGGTATCGTGCGTTGGTGTGGATACAACTATTGTTGTCATTATAGATATCTTTATAGTTATTGTTCTTGGAATGAACGGGGCTTAACACACTGGTGCTCACATATTTCTAATTTTTCTCTCTCAAAACAAAGATCCGCTTTGTAGCAGCGTTCCAGACTTCAAGCATGATCAAACTCAGTCGGTTTCTGGGACGCTCGGACACAGCCTGGTCCTCCAATGCAAAGCCTCCATGGGTTTGAACCGCACAGATTCAGACTGTAAAGACCACCTGGAGTGGATGAAAGACGGCACACCGCTGACCAACCTCACCATCTACCCTCAAAATGTACTAAACTGGTGGGTATATGATGCTATATAATGTCCAGCACTGGGTACATAGTGTATCAGTTATTAAAATTGAAATAATGTAATGTGGCCCATTAAACTGAAAATATATGAAAGAAATTTCGATACTTTATAATGAAATTAATCTCTTTGACTGTGTTCTAAATACTAGCGTACTGCATGATGTGTAGTATACACTATATGCTCTAGTAGTGCATACTATTTTTTTTAAATAATGTGAAAGTTTAAAAAATATGTGCACTTGCTAAACATTTCAGTCAGTTGTTTTTGCAGAACCTCTTTACGTTGTGCTTACAAATGCCAGCCAGATATGTTTCTGAAAAAAAAAAATTGTGGATTTTTTAACCAAATTCTCTGTAAAAGAGTCTACTTTTCATCATTCAATTAAATGATCAGTTAAAGGGATAGTTCACCCAAAAATGAAAATTCTGTCAGTAATTACTCACCCTCGTGTTGTTCCAACCCCATAAGACTTTCGTTCATCTTCGGAACAAAAATTAAGATATTTTTGATTAAATCTGAGAGCTGGATCACTCCTCCATAGGCTTCTTAAGGGATCGAAACTGGCCGGCCCAAAAGTTATGAAAGACATTGTTAAAATAGTCCAAGTGACTACAGTGGCTCAATCTTAAGTTTATCAAGCGACGAGAATACTTTTTGTGCGCAAAAAAAACAAACAAAAACAACGACTTTATTCAACTATTCATTTCCTTCTCTGTGGGCCTGATATTTTACGTAGTGATATTGCGCAAAGCTTCTAGGTTGCACATCACACGTAGGCTCACTATTGGCTGACACTGGTCATGTGTGTGATGCGTGACGTACAACCTAGAAGCTTTGCGTAGTTTCACTACGTGAAATCTCACGGCCCACACAGAAGGAAATGAATAGTTGACTAAAGTCGTTATTTTTGTTTGTTTTTTTGCGCACAAAAAGTATTCTCGTCGCTTGATAAACTTAAGATTGAGCCACTGTAGTCACTCCGACTATTTTAACGATGTCTTTCATAACTTTTGGGCCGGCCAGTTTCGATCCCTGAAGAAGCCTATGGAGGAGTGATCCAGCTCTCAGATTTAATCAAAAATATCTTAATTTGTGTTCCGAAGATGAACGAAAGTCTTAAGGGGTTGGAACAACATGAGGGTGAGAAATTACTGACAGAATTTTCATTTTTGGGTGAACTAACCCTTTAAGAAGGAGATGTTACACATTTAGGCTAGGCTGAAGTGATTTATGGCTCATTTAAAGGGATAGTTCACCCAAAAATGAAAATTATCCCATAATTTACTCACCCTTAAGCCATCCTAGGTGGATATGACTTTCTTCTTTCAGCCAAACCGGAGTTATATTAAAACATATCCTGGCTCTTCCAAGCTTTATAATAGGAGTAACTGATATTTTGAAGCCCCAAAAAGCGCACCCATCCAACTAACCCTTGAAGTTGAGTGTATTGAATGTGGTATAATGCACGTTATACCTCACAGCGTGCTATTTTGTATATGCCACATTTCGTCATTGTAATAGGAATAAATCAACTTAATAACAGTTTATTTACACAACATATATTATTTACAGAGTATATTTCAATCATGACAACTCAATCATGAAGGAGTAGTTTTAGCATGTTAATGAATATGGCAATGTTAATGTATTTGGTCTTGGCGGACTAGATCTGCTACACTGCTGCATGAATAGACATGCAGATCAAGGCAGGTGGAGCTGGGGGAGGTGGAGGGGTTCAGAGGAAATCTGACAGTGTGTGGCTGGACTAGCCTACAGAAAACACTGAACCAGAGTATTTAAATGCCAGCAATCTCATTGGCTGCAGGACCAGCGGAGGCTTCAGCTTGTACCATGTGGTAATGGTGTGATTGCTTGCAGATTGCATGTAAAAGACCTATCAGCTTGTGCCATCTAGAGTTTCATGACTATCCAAACACTTGGCAGGGTCACAGATGAGGGTCACATCATTAAGAGCACTGATCTAACACTGACTCTGAGAGATCGGGCTGATTTTGGGGTGTATTTCTGCGTGGTGAGGAACAGCACAGCGCAATTCAACGTTAAAGAATACAGTAAGAAAGAAAATGCCTTATTTAAGTCTTTTAATATTACCTCCAGATTATACTCATTGTCATATTCGTTATTATCCACCATGTAAGAATTTGCATGTGACACATTTGTAAGAATTTACAAATGCCCTAAACATTATAATATAAAGTGTGAAATATATTCAGATTCTTCTCTGCAGTTCTGTGTATATGGTTGATGATCATTTTGATCCAATTTTTTCTCCCAGAATCCCCAAGTCACAGCGGAGCAGTGGTTGCGTCGGTAGTCCTGTTGGTTGTACTCGCTCTTGCAGCGGTGGTCTATTCCAAGTGTCGACTCAACTTTAAACTGTGGTATAAGAATATTTCTGAAGAGTATGAGCTTAATGGTAAGTCTGCATTCTGTTCATTAAAAGCCTTTTATAATCATTGCATTATCATTTCATAAAGATGTTTTTGCTGTTTCTCAGATGGCAAAATGTATGACGCCTACATCTCATATGTCAACAATGAGAATGACAGGAAGTTTGTCAATTTTATCCTGAAGCCTCATTTGGAGAACAAGTACAGTCATAAACTTCTACTCAACGACACAAACATCCTTCCTGGAGCCGGTAAATCTTACAACTATATTCAGATTTATGTGGGCATAAGGTTAAATCATTACACCAGTCTTCAGTGTGATGAGCATTGTAGCTGATCACAGACATGTTGACCGAATGAATGCAGTGATCTCATCCCTGCAGAACGATTTCTGCACTCTCAAGAATGCTTTCATCATAACTAACAGTCCAAACGTGTTGTAAATAAGAGATTCGTTGATTATAACAGGAGTTTTGGTGAGAGTCCAGAACTCAGTCAGTAGCTGCGTTTACATGGTTCAATTGGAATGAAATCAATCCGATTGATGAATCCGAACACGGTGTTTACATGAACGATAAATAAAGTAATCGGGTTGATGTGCGCGTTTATATGTCACAAGATTCAAATCGGAATTGATTTTTTGACATGCGCACACTGCACGAATATATGCCGCTGTTTGCGCATAACTATTCTCCTCTATTGGTTCTTTTTTTTTTTAAACAGCAGACTTAATATTTATCCGTCTCTGGTCATGATTTGGAGACATGAACCGTTTTGCCGTGCTGCTTATATTGATCACGCATTAAAACCCCGTGCCCAAAACCAGTCGTCCATGGATGAGAGTCTGAAACAAGCACTGGTGGGACGTTGTCCTGCTTCACTTCACAGACGCTGAGTGAAATGAGAATTTTTAATAACGGAACACTCATTTATATTCACTTTATTCAACAGGAAGAACAGCTCGTTCCGTGCGTCATACGTCATTACGCTATTTCAACGTCATTGCACATGCGCAGTCCTTTCAGTTTCGGTTTTCAATCCGATCAAGTGTTTACATGTTCTCTCGATCGGATTACAAAAGGATTAAACCACCCCTTTCAATCCGATCGAAATTTCAATCGGATCGAGCTCGATCGGATCGATTAAGGTGTTTACATGAAGGTTTTTTAGTCCGATTGAGCCGTCAATCCGATTATAAGTGTCCATGTAAACGCAGCAACTGATAAACTCGCGCTGTTTGATTGACAGCTCCAGCGATTGTAAAGGGAGCGTTCTTTGATCGCTTTCTATATATAATTTAATCACAGTTTAAATAACAGATTATTTTCATCCTACTAATGGTGTGTTCACACCGAACACGAATTTAATTATTTGCGCGAGTACATTACATACAAAGTCAATGCAAAGACGCGAATAGACGCATCATTCGCGCCGGGCGTTGCGAATGACGCGAATTGGGCGACGCGTTTGCCGCGAATGTCTTCCGCGCAAGTTGAAAAATTTGAACTCGAGCGAATGTTCAAGCGTCTAACTAGACGCGATAGACGCGTATTTGACGCTCTATTCGCGTTCGGTGTGAACACACCATAAGAGAAACAATATGAGGTTAACCGTTTAGTCGCTGGTTTGATTTACTGATGCATAGACAAAGAACATCTGACTGTACATGAATCATTACATATCAGAAATCACTGGTCACAGATCATATTAGGCATTAGAATGAACACAGTTACTTACATGTTGTCGCATTACTGTCAAGTCCATATCGTAAAAGTCTGTTTGCAAAGTCGAAATTGTGACTGATTTTCCAAAGAATCCACAGTGATATGTACCATATAAATAATGCTCAACTGAGACATTCACATTGTTGACATGCTAATTTTTGGACTAACTAGGTGATTGAGTTCTGAAACTTACAGAATATTCTTATTGTATGATGACCTCTTATATGTGACCTCTTGACCACAAAACCAGTCACAAGTCGCACAGGTATATTTGTGGCAATAACCAACAATACATTGTATGGGTCAAAATGGATCGATTTTTCTTTTATGCCAAAAATCAGTAGGATATTAAGCAAAGATCATGTTCCATGAAGATATTTTGTAAATTTCCTACCGTAAATATATAAGAAATTTATTTTTGTGAGTGGATGTAGCAAAATCGCAAACATAAATGGACAACTTTAAAGGCGATTTTCTCAATGTTTGAATTTTTTTGCACCCTCAGATTCCAGATTTTCAAATAGTCGTATCTCGGCCAAATATTGTACTATCCTAACAAACCACACAGCAATGGAAAGCGTATGTATCCAGCTTTCATGTGATGTATTAATCTCAATGTAAAAAAATTTGACACATGTGACTGGTTTTGTGGTTCATGGTCACATATGTCAAAAGCTCAAGGAAAATTTGATTTCTCCGTTCATGACCCCTTTAATTAATTTATGGATTTGGCAGACAAAGTAACTTACACTCCATTTAAGGTTTTTTTTCAGCATTCACATTTTATTAGTTGCATTCCCAGGGAATCGAACCCATGACTTAGGTGTTACTAGTGCCATGCTCTACTGTTTGAAGTTACAGGAGTACTATTTATGTTAAATAAAACATATTTATTACCTATTTTAAAATAATAATAAGTACATATTTAACAGACAGCAACGGTTTTGTTTGTATCAAATTAAATATGGTCTCATATTTGACTTAGGTCTATTGATAGTCTTGGAAAATGCACAATTTAAAGCACAACATATGTATTGTGCCTTATTTCCTCAGAGCCGTCTGCAGAGCTGCTGATGAACATTAGTCGCTGTCGACGGCTGATTGTGGTGCTTTCTCAGGCGTACCTGGAGCAGGAGTGGTGCACCACCAACTTTAGGTGTCATGTTACTTGTTTGGACTTCAATGTTTAGTTTGAGTTAGTTTCCTGTTTCCTGTTTTGTAGTCATTACTCCCTGATTATTTGCATCTGTGTCTTGTTAATCTAGTCTTCCCTGTGTATATAAGCCCTAAGCTGCGTCCTAAAATTCTGTTTTAATGTTCAGGCAGGGTCTGTGGCATCTGCTGGAGCTGTCGAGGAAGCCCATTTTCATCACATTTCAGTCGCAGCAGAAGCAAATAAGCCAGGACATCAGTCAACAGCTGAGACAACACCAACCTCGAATCACAACAATCACCTGGGGCGCACACTCCATGGTGAGACCCTCACACTGCTCAATAAATCTCTGAAATTTAGGATAAAAAGAAACCTAATCATACTCTTTCCTTTCTCACAGACCCCTTCTTCAGGGTTCTGGAAGGAGCTTGCGTTGGCAATGCCGCGTAAGGTGACGTTTCACAGGGAGTCGGCGGGCGATCCACAGACTTTGTTGCAAGGTGATAAAGATCCGATGCTCACGCAGCAGCCTGATTACCTGGACTGCAGACCGGACCCAGATCCCGCAGGAGACCTGGGTACGAAACGTGCTTCTTGAACCAAAAGAGTTTATATTTTTTGAGTGTCATTACAACAATGATATATGATCTGGGTTAGTGCTGGATTAGGCTTCCTTTAAAGGCATCGTTCTGTGGAGCACAAAACTAGATATTTTGAAGAATGTTTGAAGAACGTTTCTTCAACTTATTTGTGATTGAACTCTCCATTTAAGACAAGCTTTACTTTGCCATACAGTTTTTAACCTTACAAAGAAAGCCTACTGCATCATATCTGATGCGAATTGATGCGAATGATGCGAAAGGTCTAATTATCAACACATTTGTTTTACACAATCTACTACATGTCTTCTGTCGTCTGATTAATAGATTATACTGTATTTGCAAGTAAAAGATATTTTAGTATAATTCTAAAAATGTCCACCTTCAGTGTCTTTTTGCTACAAAAATGTTAATGATTTTTATGAAGTAAATCAGGCTTTTGAGGAGCGTTTATTTGTTCATCTCGCGATCATTCTTGTATTGCATTGCATTATACGTTCCCCCCCCCCCCCCCCACAATAAAAACTACATCCATCCATCATTAAAGTAATCCATAGTGTAATCCATAAATAATCCATAATCCATAGCTCCAGGGTGTTAATAAAGGCCCTCTGAAGCGAAGCGTTTTTGTAAGAAAAATATCCATATTTATAACTTTATAAACGGTAATGGCCGTACACGAGTCGAGTTCCGGCGGATCAGTGACCTCTGACCCGCCACATGGCTCATAACGTATAACGCATTGCTTCGCTTCAGAAGGTCTTTATTAATCCTCATGAAGCCGTATGGATTTCTTTTATGTTGGATGTATGCGCTTTTGGGGCTTCAGAATCTCAGCTACTATTCATTGCCATTATGAAGCTTTGAAGAGCCAGGATATTTTTTAATGTAACTCCGTTTGGCTGTTAGAAGAAAGTCATATAACACCTATGATGGCTTGAAGGGGAGTAAATTATGGGATAATTAAAATTTTGGGGTGAACTAACCCTTTAAACATCATCTATATATTGTCTAAAGATTCAATAAAAATAAATCAGGTTCCATTACAAAAAAAAAAAGGATTTTTCTTACTATCATTTCATGTGTCAGGCTTTACAGGGTTTACATTATAAAGGGTTACAACATTTTATTGTACATATACAATGTGTTTACCTCATAGGTTTGCGTTTGCCCATCTACAAGACCCTTCCCTCCAAAGCTCCAGTGCTTCCTGCTGGTCCAGGTGAGACGGATGAACCCAAACCCCCAGAGATAGATGTATCTGACCTCGGCTCGAGGAACTACGCCGCCCGCACAGACTTTTACTGCCTGGTCTCCGAGGACGATATATGAGACACACACTCCTGTTCCTTTTTGCACTTTTAAGTCACTTTTCCCCCAATGATTTCATGTTACTGTTTTTTTGTTTGTTTTTTAATCTACACCTGTACAGTTTTGCATGCACACTTCTTAATGTTTTTATGCAAAATGTTTAATAACATTTCATGTATAGTCATAGGGATGTTGGTTGTGTATATATTTGAATAAAGTTCTGGGGTCCATGTTTTATTTGGTTTTGACTTCATTATAACACCCCTACGTCTGAATATGCCTACTTGCCTACCATACAGTAGGCGAAAAACAGTATGCTATTCATAAAACAGTATGCAAACGTACCATGTACTATGCAACATGGCAGCTTATGCTATGTCTTGTTCCCTCCTCTCAGGGAACCGAGGTTACATGAGGTAACCAGAGACGTTCCCTTTCAAGTTCGGTTCTCTCGACATTGCGTCAGTAGCTGATTGGGATCCTATAAAATCCCGTCGTGTTAATAGCAAGGGTCCAGCTAAGCTGCAAGCAAAATCGCTGACCTTCGCTTAAAGTGCTTCATGCAACGGAAGACTTCATATGCTCACGATATATCTACCATAAGTGCGAGTTGCACAAGCATTTGCAAAAGCATTTGCAAGCATTTGCAAACAGCAGCACAGCCGGTGCTTATCATAGAAAAGCAAAAAATGGCGGCAGCACTAGTGTATATAACGGTTAGTGTAAGCAATACCACACTCCCTTATGAAAGCAACGGCACAGTGCTTATAATAGAAAGTAATGAACGGCATATATAGTGGTTAGTGAATGAGTGCGCGGCCGGAGCTTTTTGTGCTTTATTCAAGACAGACCGCTGTTCTGAGGTGGGGGGCTGCTTCTTCCCGCCTATTTTGCGCTTCTTCCTCGCCTGCGAGATTTCATAGGGCTTCAGTATACTCACTGAAAAAGTGTTTCCCCCTTAGCGTCAGCTATTGACGCAATGTCGAGAGAACCCAACTTGAAAGAGAAATACTGCTGATGGCCTAATACGAAATTCTGAAGTGAACATTTTATTATCCCACTTCGCTATCCCTTGAAGCCACGGGAGAGGAGTTGTGAATGGCAGTGTAGCAACACAACTGAAAGTGACAACATGGTGGATGTAGTACGTCCTAATTTATTTCATACTACCCATTTACATACCACAAAGAATACTTTTTTTAATGATTTTTTTAAAGTCGGCAAGAAACAGATTGCGATAATCTTTTATTCCCTATTGTGATGTACATCAGAGATCTCATGTGAGTGACAGGTTGTCCCACCCATAAAAACAAAACAAATTAAATAATCAAATTATCCAAATTTATCAATTTTATTGTTATTTAAAATACGTAGCTACTTAAGTGACTGATACAATCTTTGTCATCATGGAATATACTTGTTTGATCACATAGAGTTCACAGAGTTTGAGGCTAATGTTCAAGGCCTGAGGTGAATTATTCCTTGTCCCTATAATTATAGATATGAAACTCACTCAAAATAATAGAAATCAAATACAATACTAATATAAAAATGTTAAATTAAATTTAATACACCTACTGTACAAAACACATCAGTATCTGAGATACTGATGTAGCACTGTAGTTTGCTATGACCCCCTTCCTGTTCGCAGGAGTGATGAGATAGTTAGTAGACTGTCCTCACTCAATGCCTGACTGTCCAAGTGGTGTCCGCAAAATAATATAGAATTTATAGACAATTGTAAAAAAAAAAATTGGGGCAAACCTGACCTGTTGAAAAGAGATGGTATTCATCCCTCCTGGGATGGTGCTGCTCTTCTCTCTAGTAATATGGCACATAGTCTTAGAGCTCAAACATGACAATCTGGGGCTCAGGTCAGGAAGCAGACAGACTGGCAAAACCGACCGTCTGCTATCTGTCTCACGTCACTGAGATCAGATAAATCCCATCACATAGAGACTCTTTCACCTAGATATCATCATATAGAGACTGTGTCTGTTCCCCGAATTAGGAAAAAACTTCCAAACCCAGTTAAGGTTAAAAATTGAATTGATGTTCAACAAATAAAAAAACAGATATAATACAAATGAGCAAATGATAAAACTTGGGTTGCTGAATATTCGATCCCTTACTTCAAAAGTACTTATTGTTAATGATATGATTACAGACTATAACCTAGATGTGCTGTGTTTGACAGAAACCTGGCTAAAACCAATCGATTACATTACTTTAAATGAGTCTACCCCCCAGGATTAGTTATAAACATGAACCTCGTCTGAAAGGCAAAGGGGGAGGTGTTGCTGTCATTTATAGTAATACTTTCAAAATTACTAAGAAGTCTATAAATATAAGTTTAAAAAAAAAATGTATGTAACAATATATAGTGTAAATGATAAATCACGTTTGAGATTTGTGCTGGCTACTGTATACAGGCCACCAGGGCACCATACAGACTTTATCAAAGAATTTGCTGACTTACTATCAGTTAGTAAGTGACAGTAAGTGAAAGGTTCGCGTTTAAAGTCTGTTTAGAGAGAACGCCGTCGTCTTAGTGGCCCCTAATGTAATAATAAATGATAATTTTGTGGGAAGTGAATCAATCAAAACCAACTTTAGCTGGAAAAACATTATTCAAAATCGCTATAAAGCCAAAACAATCTCTGTTACCGTAAATTGTATGTTTATCTCTGTAAAGCTGCTTTGAAACAATCTCCATTGTTAAAAGCGCTATATAAATGAAGATGACTTGTCTTAACTAGTACTGGCTGCAGATAAAGTCCAAATTGTTGGTGATTTTAATATTCATGTAACGAATCAATTCACTGGAGGCAAGCTGGTGAGGACCCAAACGCAAACTTTAATATAAACACTACATTAAACACAAAACAAAGGCATGGCCAGGCATGAAACAGAAAACAGAACAAGGATCAGGACATACAACACTAGAAACATTCAATCCTCGACCAAGACACAGGGCAAACATGAGGGCTTAAATACACTGACTCAGGGCCGGCTCTAACCCCTTGGTTGCCCTAGGCGATATTGAGTTTTGCACCCCCCCCCCCCCCCCCCCCCCCCCCCAAAAAAAAAAAATTATAAGTATTTATTAAACTAAACATGCTCTTATAGTTACTCAAAAACTTAAACAATAAATTGTTCATACAAATGCTACAAAGAACGTTCAAGGATATTTATATCATTGAACAACGATATTTTATCTGACCATAAATAACTTTTAGTAGATAACTTACAACTACTACCACCTCTATTACAATCTATTGGGCTGCTACAAGGTTAAGGGGGTTTCGGGGGTATTTCCCCGTAAGAAAATTTTGTGCATTTTAATGTTAAATTCATCAATCTGGTGCACTTTGAGAGTTCAAAACTAAAAGCTCCAACCCATATTCAGTGGGCAAATTGAACAAAGAAAAATTCAAACCTCTTTTAATTACAGTGTCTGTCTATTACACTACTACATAATAATATATATAATATTAATCCCATGACAGTAATTGCCATACGCTATATTGTAAAACAAATGCACTGAAAAATAAAGGAAACTTTCATGAGTATTGTACAAATTTCTATAGGCCTACTTGAAAGTAAGTTATATATTTAGATGTAACCCAGTGCCGCCAATTAAGCAAAACAAAACGAATGGGCCACCCATGGGCGTAGGTTTGGTCTCAGCTTTGGTGGGGACATCCACCGTCGCTTTGGATAAAAAGTGTCTGCTAAATGAATAAATGTAAATCTGTTGTGGTTTGATGCTGTCTTTCCTGCATACAAAATGGTTAATTAAATCTGTTGTCTATCCTATGGCTAGCAAGTTTAACCCTCCTACCAGATATTGTTATTTGGATATTATCAATCAAATAATGATTCATTATATTTGAATAACCAACAGTGTTAACTTTTGCCTTTTTAACATTGCCAACATGTTTTTCCAGCACATGTGTCTAGCAAGTAGGCTACACTACAAATACATTACATAAACAGAATGTAGAAACGAAAAATGTCTCAGATGATCCACTGTTTATGACTGCAAGATTCTAAGTTAAGGTAGGCTAATTAACATTCAGTGACTTGCTAACACCCCTAATTAATGCTCCTAACCTTGAAAGATTGCAGAAGCTAGGTTTAACTGTAACAATATCCTGGGTAACCAGGATCACCAGATAATACTATTTTCCACAGTAGAATCTGCATTTGAAAGCCTGGTCAGTCACTACTAACGTTACTGCTAGTTATTTGTGTGGCTAGTTATTTTTGCCTACTTACACTCTGCTTTATGAAAAAGCTTCGTATGTCCCCTTTCTTCTTCTTGGGTGACATAGCTGATCTACAAAGTACAAAAAGGGGCAAAAAACGGAATATTCAAATGTTTTACTCTGGCCTTTGTATATGGCAGGCAGAGAGACAGCCCTGGTAACTTACCGTCGGCGTCGTCACGCGCGCACACACACAGACACACACACACACACACACACACACACACACACACACACACACACACACACACGCACACACCACCCGCTCGCTGCCAGTGAGTGCAAGCACAAAAAGTAGTCCCGGCCCGCGCGTGTAGCCTGCCTGTCAGATACCCCGCCGCCAATCAAATTACGGCGTATCTTGTACTGTAGTCGCCCTGGCCGTTGTCAATCGATCCAAATATCAGCGCAAAGATCAAAATAGCAGTTCAAAGGAGCTTGCTAAATATTGGTGGGGACAAATTTGTCACCTCAAAATATTGATTGGGACTAGTACCTAGCGTCCCCCCCTAAACCTACGCCCTTGGGGCCACCGATGTACGAGTTTTATGGGCCGTTAAGGCAAAAATAGAAAAATAAAAGTATGAGATGTATGTATCGGCCCAAAAAGCACGTCGGGCCCGCGGGAATCTCCCGGTTGTCCCGATGGCCAGAACATTTGACACCTTAATGGATGAGATGAGAAGACTTACCTCTATACTGGGCTTTCTTTTTATCTTGTTGCTTTCTCCGTTTTCGTCCCTGTGCACCAGAGGGTTTAGACCGCTTCATTTTCGATCAGCGCGC